AAAAAGAGCTCAATCAGGTACTCCTTAAACACCTCCTTCAGACTCTCCATCTTCTTTGCATGATGCTCCAGACACTGCTTTCTCAACTGTGCCACTTCTGGATTTGAGGGCGCAATCTCCTCCAGCTTCTTCGGCTGCATCTTCTTTATGCTGGTGGGGGTCAGGGACTGGCTGGCGAGGCCTTGGGGAGGGTTGCTCAAGGATGGGCTGGATGGAGGGATTGCAGATGGGACCCCAAAAGAGGCCGGGGCCACCACAACACCTTGCGCGGTCTTCTCAAAAATCATGGGACGCGCTAACTGGCCTTGGATGATGCTACTGATCTGAGGAGGCAGATTGGAGGTGGTGATGTGCCCAGGGCTGCCCAATGTCGGGAGAGCAGCCCCTGCAGCAACAGGGCTCTGCGGCCCCAAATGGTGAATGGTGCCCCCGGTTTGAGAGTGTGGCTGGGACAGGCGTCTTTCTCTGACAGACCCTGGTGTCCCAGGTGAGGTTAGCTGAACGGCTCCAGCTGTTGTTGGAGCCAGCTGAGCCAATCCTGTTCCATCCTGGTACACAAAATGACTACTTCCAGGTGGGCTGCCCAAGTTGATTTGCCTAACCATTATACCTGCCTCCACAAACCTTGTCGGGCTCTGACCGCACACTCCTAGAGCCGACCCAGGAGCGCTCTGCCTGGGCACAGCCTGTATGGGGACCGGACTGTGCTGGGTCGGACTTTGAGGCTGCATTGTCTGGGGCAAGGGTGATGTCACCACGTAAGATGAAGACCCAGACTCGAACCTCCAATGCTGAGGCTGGTGCTGAAAGCCAGGGGATGCTGGGCTCTGGAGAGGAAGAGAGGCAAGGGTAATTTGCTGGTTCCCAGAAACCATTGGTCCCACGTTCTGTAAAGTGATGTTCATATTCTGGCCTGTGACCGGACTCCGACTCATAATGATTTGATAATTGGGAGACTGTGGTGCAGAGGGACTGGCGGACGGAGCAAAAGATGTCACCGGTGACTGGGGGTGATTGGCATTTGCCGGCTGTTGCTGGGTAACCGGCATGGGCTGCTGATGTTGCTGTTGTTTTTGGGGCTGCTGTGGTTGTTGGTCTTCCGCCTCAGATCCAGTGAAGGACTTGGATCTCTGAAGGTTCCTCTGCACATTTGGTGGGCCTCCTCCATGGTGCATTGCGTGCCACTTCAATTGTATTAAAAGACACTCTGTGGGGAGACAATAGTGCAATGTTTCTACCATAAAAATATATTTCGGTTGGATAAAGATATCGAAATTCATACTAAACCTCAATGGAAAAAGTCATTAATAATTTGTAGAGACAGACCAATATATTGCTCAGGCCAATTAAAGGAATAGTTCACACAAAATGAATATTCTGCCATCATTTACTTACCCTTATGTAATTCCAAACCTGAATAACCCTCTCTGTCCCTCCACTGAAAGTCAATTGCTCCAAAACATTCTTTAAATATGGTAAACAGAAGCTCAAATGTGCTTACCTAGGGCTGCACGATTAATCAAAATTAAATCACAAAGGCGATAAATCGCGATTAGGCAGAAGCTGCGATTGTCATGCGTATCTTTCAGTGAAGCACGGTTCTGTGATCAGCAGTAAATCTCCATCCGAAAGCCAGAGGGCGCTCTCGCGCTGAAACTCCAAATACACCTCGCAGAAGAAACCCAGGAAGTCCCTATAGCGGTTGCTGAATAAACAGAAGATTTAACTGCTTTCATTCATTCAACGTGACTAATAAACACACGACTACAACAATATATGGTTTATCGGAGTTCATCTTATTATAATTTTTTATTATAATCCTTTAAGGCCTTATAAGTGATAAGCCTTTATCACTGCTTAGAATACTATGAAATATGTTGCGTGACTTATTCGATGTAAGAAGCCACATCATCTCACAGAAGGATTTATTTCAAACACTCGACTGACGTTATGAAGTGAGTTTGGAGTAAAAACATGTTATTAAATGTGGTATTTTCACGTGTTTTCAGATGGAGCAGAATAGCACTCGATTAATCGTGCAGCCCTATGCTTACCTGATGCCCAATAACCAATGACGTTTGTTCTCACGTCATGCAAGCCTGTTTGAGCTTCTGTTTACCAATTTTGATGTGCATTGATCAATGTTTATATGTGAATAAAAGTCGTAGGTAGATCTGTTCATCATTATAAAGTGATTGTCTCTCTTCAGATTAATATGGATTACTTGTACAATGTCTTTATGAACTTTTTGATGGATGAAAGGTTTGGTGGAACACAAAAATTCATATAGGTTGAACGACACGAGTCATGATGTGTGAGTAACGACAGAATTAAATTTTTGGGAGAACTATCCCTATAATAGACCAATAATTGGTCATTCTAAGATTTTAGGGCTGGGCAAAAAAAAAATCGATTTTTCGATTAATAGTTTTTTTTAAATGACGTCGATTCGATATCGATTCTCACAAAGCCGTGAATCGATCTTTTCCGGTATTTATTTCAGCACACATTTAAAACAAGATCTGATTAACGTGAATCTTATCATTAGTCTTCTCCACTAGATGTCACCCTTATTTACCTTGCGCGATGTTACAACAGAAAGCCTGTCCGTCTCACTATATGATGTTATGAACACGAATGTCATCTCCAGCTGCTCTGAGAGTCACTTCATTAGCATTTACCGTTTCATTTGAGAAAACTACCATCATATCACATACACAGCAGCTGCAAGTTCTTCACGGCAACACGTCAAAATAAAAGTTTAGTTTAACGTTAAGAAACTGAAAACAGAATATATTACTATTTAGCAGTCTTAAGACACAATGCTACTACTGCTAATAAATAATAATAAATCTTTATTTTTAAAGGAATAATCACATCTGTTTTCTTTTTAATTTTAACAGTAAACCTCTGTTGTGCAGCACTTCGTTTGCCAAAAAATAAAACGGTTTAATTTTCATTTGATTAGGATCAATTAAATTAATGTTTTATGCCTTCATCTGATTACCAGAAAAATTAAAATACCAAAATACCATTTTATAGGGCCCTATTATGGTTTAAAAAAGGACGCTATACAAAAAAAAGAATGGGTTTAAAACACAGGCATGTGGTTCTTAATTTATTTTTATTAATTCACCATTTGTAAACTGATGTTAACTGTTCATTTTTTAGAAATATCAATAGCATTTGTATTAAAACTATATTCACTAAATGTAATCAAAAAATCGAGAATCGAATCGAATCGAGAGCTTGCGAATGGAAATCAAATCGAATCGGGACATCTGAATCTATACCCAGCCCTATAAGATTTTCATCCTCATATAATGACCTTATTAATAGATAGTAAACAATTTCTTGTCTATATATTGACTACCCTGCTGTCTAAATATCAGTATCAGCTATTGAAAATAATTATTTTCATCTACTAAATCTATCACTCATCCAAGGCGATTTACAAGGACAAGGGTTTGAATGTAGAAACTACGTGTGTGTGTGTGTGTATATATATATATATATATATATATACACCACATATTCTAATCTAAAACAACATTACAATATTCACAAATCAATATAAAACAAATATCTATACATTCAGTATACATACAAGCAAACAAACAAATATCTATACATACAGTATACTGACAATATAGCAAATATTATCTTGATTGTTTATATGGCATGAAGATATGGAAATATTAAACATTAACATTATGATTTGATTTACATGATTTACTATTAAACAATGTACACTGAGAAAAACGCCATACAAATTAAATTTACTTGACCTGACCATTCAATACAATTAATACTGTATCGATTAGCTATTGACTGTCATCCATTCCACCTCTCACGGAAATTCACCATGGTAACCATGGCTTCGGCAAAAAATTACTACTGCAATTACTACAGGTGCTGTTATTACATTAAATGTATATATTTTTTGCCACTGTCAAAAAAAAAGAAAAGAAATTAAAGTAATAGAAAAACCCGTGACAGACTCTTTCTCTGTTTGAATCAGATTCCATATTATTTATTTTTTACACTAGTAATTATAGTATTTTTGGGGAGGGGATATAGTTACCATAGGTACATTTTAGCAAGGAATAATGCCCACTGTGGAATTGACAGCACGGTGTTTACTTCTAGTAAAGCCCTCTCTGCTCTTAAGGCTGACTGACATAGCGAGTTACAGCCTGCTACCGCTATCAAACTCACCCACTCTCCGCTTATCAACACCTAGCTCCTCTTATCCAGTGAGAACACGTTTAACATACCCGTGTGTATTCTTTAAGTATATGCAGTGGAGTAGAACATACGGAGCAGAATATGTTTGAGTTTCCGCTCGCTGAGCATTAGCTCACCTGCTAAACACAAACATCAACACGCGCCACTTACTGTAAAATCACCGTACCGCGCTCCGACCATCCACTGTAGCTCTATCTTCAGAGTCTAAGTGACAAAACACCTGCGTGTTTCCACTCTCACTCTCACAAAGCTCAATAAAACCGTTATAAGCGTTTGACAGATATTTCTGTGTGAAACATGGCGACAGATTGATTTTTTTTTCTTTCTTCTCTGAATACCCGGAAACACTTGACTCACAGCGTGACGTTTACTTGACTGACGGGCTCTTGCCCAATCGCGTCACAGAGGAAAGCGTGACGTATGTGTGAGAGCGGGGTTACCGTGGGTTTTGCTTCCCTTCGTTTTCTTGGCTTGCAGCGCTGCAGCACGAGTTACTAACTTGCATGGATTGGGAGTTATAAATTAGTAGAAATGATGTGTCTTTTTAACCATATGAATTAGCCCTTTTTTAAAATTGGCAACATAAAATCTTTTTAACATTACCAGCATAATTGACCAGGAAATAATATTTTCTTAATTTTGAGTTAATTCTAGACCCCACAACTCTAGTTACTGTTTAAAGACAAGAGTTTACGTAGTATAATTCGAAATGAATCAACACACACAGAGTAAATATGAAAGTGAAATTTATTAAATTACACACCCCCATACCACACGCATTCTGCACATATGTTTGATTTTGGCTTTGAAAATGGAAATAAAAAGACAAAGATACCAGAAAACATCATAAATATCGTAACAACAACATATACAAAATATTTAATTGTCCTCAATTTAACATCACTGTTATTTTAAAATGTTCATGTGCATCTATCACAACCATTCTACCACACACAATTCTGACTAAATGCCTTAAAAATACCTTGATATGAAACTATTATCAGATAGGGTAAAAAAAAAAAAGAGTTAAGAGTTATCGCCATTGGAAAATGCAAAAAATAGTGCAAGTAATGAATGAATATGATATGAAAATGCTGGAAGTATAACAGATTGCAAGTCTCAGAGTGTCCAGCGAGATTAAACAAGCTAGGTCATTTAAGGCACTCTCAAATCACTACAAAAACCAAAGACTAAGTCATCCCAGCAAATTGTGCAAAAGTCCTTTACTTGCAATAGATTCTAAAGCAAACTGAAAACTAAAACATCATTTTCAGACTGACAGGTAAAACAGATAAATATAAAATGCTACACACAAGATACTGACTGTCTTTGTATTGCATTTCCTTTGACTTTCAGGTGTTAATTAACCCGAAATGAGCCATTAGGCTTGTCTCTGCAGTGGTTCTTTTCAGGCACCCAGAAGGCAAATGGGTTTATAAAGTGCTTCACTGTTTCACACACACATATGACTAACAGTATGATAGTTCATATAATTCAAATCTCAAGTATTTTTTCCATCTTCATATGACAACATATGAAACTGACAGTCTTTATCAGTAGGTCAACAAAGGTTTGCCACAATTTTGGTCAATTGCCACAGAGTCATACAGATGTAACACTGAATACTACACATCCACCGCCGACTGCTATTTCAACAACGGTTTGGTTGCTACAGAAGTTTAATTATTATTCATTATTATGAATTCCCTTCAGATACAGCAGATAACGATCATTTCCTCAGAACCATGCAAGAAACATGCAGAATAAGTCCATCAAAAGCAGGATCATTCCATGTAACTTCATAAGACTAATGCTACGGGCATGTTTTGGTACGACTGAATGAAAAGCATCCAAGCTACTCATTCAGACTCCAACACTGGCTTTAACATTGTAGTACTAAGATTAAATTAATCTCTTATTAAGTGCCATCATGCATTGGTGTAGATTCAGAGGTCAAAGCATTTAAACAAGACATCTATTCAACCAATGATGCCATCTTGATTCTGTTTCACTCAATATTCTTTGACAGTTAACAAAATAGATGTTTAAGTCATAGATGTTGCTTCTGTTTATACACATACATCAATAGAGATTTTATCTTTGTCTATTATGAAAAAGTCTTTTCTCACCTTTTTTTGGCTTTGGAAGCCAAGTATCACATTTTTAATGAGTGAGTATGAGTTTTTCCTTTGACAGAATTTCAAAAGGCATCTGGGATGAAATGAGATGTAGTTGTTGTTGGTTTCATCACACACATCCTTTGGGCTGGAGGGAGGAGAGCCGCCGCTCAATACACTGTCTACCTATAGAACAGACAAACAAAACATACATCAGAGATGAGTCATAGTGTTAAATATTATTACAAATTAAAATAACTGTTTTGTAGTTGAACATATTTTAAAATGTAATGTATTCCTGTGACCGAAAAGCTGAATTTTCAGCATCATTACTCCAGTCTTCAGTGTCACTCCTTCAGAAACCAGTCTAATATGATGATTTGATGCTTAAGAAACATTTCTTATTATCAATGTTGAAAACAGTTGTGCTTTTTGTGGAAACCGTAATACTTTTCATATACGAAATAGAAATCTTTTTTTCATATCATAAATGTCTTTACTGTCACTTTTGATCAATTTAATGCATATTTGCTAAAGTTTTAATTTCTTGAAAAAAAATCTTACTAAGCCCAAACTTTTGAACGTGTGTCACACTCACATTTGTTGATACTGTTTAGATCTGCAGTCTCTGTAATAATTAAGGACAGGCCCTCCATCAGCAGTAAGGCCTTATGGTATCGCTCTACAGAGGTTTCTCCGTGATGAAACATCTCGTCCAGTGCTGCTGTCTGTACCTGACCACATAAGAAAGGAACGCAATTCATACTCTTTATTAGTGATATGATACTGATGCGTTTCTCCTTATATTATAAGAAACATAATGCGAATATGTTCATACCATCTGAATGGTGTGTGTGTAGATGAGTCTCTCAGCAGTAATGCTGTTGATGCGGTCCATCAGTCTTTGTTTACTGCTGAAGAAGAGCTGGAGTTTCTCAGTGAGAGAACGGCAGGAGTTCACACTCTTCTTATACATCTCGTTCAGCTTACGTACTACTGCAAGTGCAACACAAACACAACATAACATAGAATGAATGTCTTAAAGGGGTCATATGATGCTATTTCAATTTTTCCTTTCTCTTTGGAGTGTTACAAGCTCTTGGTGCATAAAGAAAATCTGTAAAGTTGCAAAGACTAAAGTCTCAAATCCAAAGAGATATTCTTTATAAAAGTTAAAAGTCAACCACGCCTACCTAAAACGGCTCGTTCTAACACGCCCTCACATGTCTACGTCACGATGTGGGTAGATTTGCATAACGCCGCCCAAATGTTCACGCAAAGAAAGAAGGCGTAACTTTGATTCTCCCTGTAGTATTGTTGTTGCCGCCACGGCCATGTTGTGGAGACGCTGTGTGTTTCGTTATGAAAGCGATACTACTTTGTTTGGCCTTCCAAAAGAGGACACAACATTACAGTATATGCAGTTTTTGACTGATCAAATGCAACAGTAAAGACATTTACAATGGTACAAAAGATTTCTATTTTATATAAAGGCTGTTCTTTTGAACTTTCTAGTTTTCTAACTTTCTATGACTAACCTTGTTTAACAGATCCTGATGGGAAGAGTTTGCCTTCTTTGATCCCAGCCATCGCTGTGTGAAGCGCAGAGGACAGCAGCTCAGCACACTTCATATAGAGGACCAGCTGCTCTGCAGAGCTACATACACATGTGCACATCACTCACAATGTACATCACTTAATATCACAGACATCACACATAAAACATGTATGTGTTTATGTGTGACTGAGTTGTATCTCACCTCCACTCATGGCTCAGCAGGCTGACCTGGTCGGCCACCACGCTCTGCTCTAAGAATGAAGCATCAACTGCCACATTCCTTTCAATCCCACTGTCCTTTGTTCTAGCGATCTCTGTGACGCAGTGGGAAAAGGCTAGAATGAAGCGCAGTTGGCTCAGCAAGTCCGTATGTCCCTCCTGTGGTGAAGAAGAGCAGGACATCAAATCTTGAAATAATCGATGAAACAATCCTTATCACAGTACATCATACCAGGTGCCACAATAACAACAATTAAAAAAACCCTGCTCTCCAGCATACTCAGTTCTGATTGGTCATATACACTACCGTTCCAAAGTTTGAGGACAGCAAGTTTTTGGTTTTTTTGGGGAAGAAATGAATATTTGAATTCAGTAATGACAGCAAAGTCACTTTTAATGTTACAATTTATTTGAGATTTCTATTTCAAATAAATGCTGTTCTTTTGAACTTTCCATTCATCAAAGAATCCTGAAAAAATGTATCAGTTTTGACAAAATTATTAAGCAGTTTTCAACATTGATAATAATAAGAAATGTTTCTTGAGCAGCAAATCAGCATATTAGAATGATTTCTAAAGGATCATGTGACTGAAGACTGGAGTAATGATACTGAAAATTCAGCTGGCCATCACAGGAATAAATTACATTTTAAAATATATTAAAATAGAAAACAGTTATTCTAAACTGTAAAAATATTTCATAATATTAATGTTTTACTGTATTTTTTAACAAATAAATGCAGCCTTGATGAGCATGAGACTCATTTCAAAAACTTAAAATATCGTAACCCAAAACTTTTGAACAGTAGTGTATTTTTGGCCGTTAAACTGTATAACTGACCATTGATCCCACCCATTCATTTTCTACATATTTGTGCTAGTTTCATTTCTCTCGTATCACTCTCGTATCATCTTCTCACATAATACAATTATTTAGTCTAAATTATACAATTATTTAACCAATACATCATATTCATTTATTTGGTAAGCAGTCACACAATAATCAGGATAATATACAGTCAGTCAGTCAGTCATTATCACAAAATAAACCCCTTCAGAATGACGCAAGACCATCTTGATCAACCTTTCTGGGTTTATTTTAATATGACAACTACCTGACTGACTGTCTGAATGACTGTACCCTTCATACATAATGTATAGCCCAATTATTTTACCTCCATAATCGTCTCCTCTGGCAGTTCAGGTGGCACAAAGGCCACACCCTCGCATAGGTTTGTTGCCATGGCATCGGTGTAACCATAGCGCAGACTGTCAGGCAAGCTGTAAGCCTCGTGCACATGACCGTAGGTCCAGCCAGGGCTTGTTGGGCTGAGAGTGCCCACTTCAACAGCAAATGAAGTGAATTGAAAATGCATTGTGAGTCTAACAGATACTGTAACATGCAAACACAATACTTGTGTTTCAGTCTCATTAAGTAAAATAATGGAAGTGTCACCTGAGAAGCGTCTACGTCGAGTGGCATGAGGAGGTGTGTGTCCATATTCAGGAGAGCACAGAATGAACACAACTCCAGCAGGACTGCCTGAGCCCTGCTCTGTGCCATCACTGCCACCAGGGGGTGCTAGAGAGATTAGGACAAAATTGCATTTTTTAACCGCAGATACACTGAGAACAGTGCCTGATGGCATTTAAAAAAAAACATTATCTATGACTAACTGCAGATATAAAGAAAATATATCAGTGATTTTCCACAACATTTCAATAATCATTCTAGTCATTTGCGATTACTGGAAAGAAAAGAAAAGATGATTTGCTTCCTTTAAGATGACAGCTGTGAATTTCCTTTTGTATCCCGAGCATATGGGAAAAGCTCAGTGATGGGGCTGCATGATTTGAAAAAAAAAAAAAAATGTAATTGCAATTTTGTTGTATAAAAATTGTGATAAAGATTTAAAATTAAATTGAAAAACAAAAAAAATTAAAGGTTAACTGATTTTTAAACGTTAAACCATCAAGGTTTCATTTTGGTGGAAAACAGCAATGGCTAACATCACTGTTAGCGTTGAGCTCACACCTGTTGTGTCCATGGGTTTCCCTGAATTTAAGCTCTCACAGCTGCCCCTGTCAAACTGATGTCCAAACACAGCCTTCAGCAGCTTATCTGAGAGACGGCCGGTACTTAATGACCTACAACACAAATGACCCATAAACACAGCTCTAGGGAACAAACTCATCTAACAGCAATCATATCACAGCAGTGATTCCAGTGCTGATTATAAAATATAAATAAATAAAATCATTATTACTGTGTCACAAGCTTTCTTCACCCTGAACTAAAGCCAAGTTGACTAATACCTTTTGACTGTGTACCTTCTTTCCGCTGGCCTGAGAAGTGGCACACGGGGCCCTGTAGCCGGGTACAGTGCCAGATCTTTTAGGTCAGACATGGTTTTGTTTCGGGTGATCAGGCCTCTCTGAACCAGCGCTGTACTTGGAGTTTGACCGGAGATGGGCCGCCGATACAGATCCCACTGAAATGAAGAGCAGTCACATATATAGCAAGTTTGTTTCCAATAAAAGTGTAATTCTGACAAAATGCAAATTACACTCATGTTCAGATATTTTTGTAATGTTTTGAAAGAAGTTTCTTATGCTCACTAAGGCTGCAAAAATACAATAAAAAACAGTAATATTGTAAAATATTACAATTCAAAATAACTGTTCTATTTTAGTTTCAAATGTAATTTATTCCTGTGGTGGCAAAGCTGAGTTTTCAGCAGCCATTACTCCAGTCTGCAGTGTCACATGATCCTTCAGAAATCATTCTAATTTGTTGAGTTGGTTCTCAAGATATATATTTTTATTATTATCAATGTTGAAAACAGTTGCGCTGCTTAATATTTTTGTGGAAGCCGTGATACATTTTTTCAGGATCCTTTGATGAATAGAAGGTTCACAAAGAATAACATTTTTTTGTAACATTATAAATCTTTACGGTCTCTTTTGATCAATTTAATGCATCCTCACTGAATAAAATATTAATTTGCTAATTAAAATATAAATTTTTCAGATTAATGCATTTTAAATGAAGTAATCATCTATTATACATAGCTCTGTGCTAAATCTAATGACTTCTTCTTCACTATGGTAGTGGAGCTGTTTTTTTATGTTTATGTATGTTATGTAATGTTATGCAACGGTTACTCACTCTGTGCACGACGGATTCTGGATTGTGTCGATGACCCCCGAGTCTGTGGGTTTGGTTTTTGTCCATGGCTGTGATGTCAGTGAAGAGAGGAGAGACCTGACCAGGCTGTTTACACACATCTGAGAGACAAAGAGAAACAGTTGGAAAGTTGGAACAAGAAGTCTTAAAAATTAAATCGATATTCAGTGAAACAGGGTATTTTACCTGCAGCATGCAACCCTGTCCTACTGCCAACAGGTTCAGGCTGATTGGGTGTTTCAGGAACATTTCCCACTGAAAAAGGTATAAACAACACGTCAGCACCCTCTACGTGATCTACAAAAACACACAGCCTCCTATATATATATATATATATATATATATATATATTTTGAATTAGCTTGAATATTTTGAATTGTTATGTGATATGTGTTCTATATAGCTTTAATTATTTTGTTAAAAATGTAAAACATTTTTTTACAAAATTTCATTTCTAATTTTGATCAAAGTTTTTCATTTAATATTTGTATTGTATTTCAGATTAATTTTGATTATCGAAAATAATTTTTAATAGCAGTGTAGTTAACAAAAACAAAACTGATTTCCATGACCTTTCCTGATGTTTGTAATTAATGTGTTAAGGTTTTTCAAAAAAATATTTTGATTCAGATGGATTTGCAAAAGATTTCTGTTATTTCCAGCTTCCTACTAAAACTACAGTTAGAGTCTCTTCCTCTATAAGTGAAGTATGCAAATCAAAGCACAGCTCTGCAGTGAACTGGTTTCTTTACCCTGTGGGGATGGTAGATACGGTCTGGATCCTCCTGATTCTGGAGAAGCCCCGGTTCTCCCACATGTTGGCACGTGTTGTACAGGTGCTGCTGTCCTGAAATTAGAGAAACAGATCTCATGTGTTGATGCATAAGGGAATCACAAGCGCATTTATGTCTCTAATTCATGTCAGAGAGAGTGAAAAATAAATAAACCCAATAAACTCAACCTGTCAGACACTTGTAGGTTCTGCTCCATCCTCTGGTAGTTGAGTTTTTGCGTCGGCACTGGAACAGGCACAGACTGAGCGTAACTACTGACACATGACTCCAGAGGCCTAGAGAGAGAGAGAGAGAGAGAGGTGAATGATTGACATGTCATGTGCACAAACATACATTTGTTCCCTGGTGATCTGTGAATTACTTTCATCTCTAGAATTCACGCTTTCTCCGGTCACGTTAACTCAGACAGCTGTTTCTCACTTCACACTTGCAAACAAAGCCTATTGTTTAATACGAGCTGCTCGCCTTCAGAGAGAGAGAGAGAGAGAGAGAGTGTACACACAGTGTACACACAGTACCTGGAAGGGCTTGGAGAGGCTCTGACAGATGGGGAGGATGATGGTATCCGACCCACACCTGGCAGTGAGCTTCTAGAAATAGTACACATACATGTACACAGTTATGCTTAAACCATCCAGCTGTTTAATATACACTACTGTTTAAAAGTTTGGGTTCGTAAGATTTCTTAATGTTTCTGAAAGAAGTCTCTGATGCTCACTTTGCCCTCACAGGAGTAAATTAAGTCATTTTTAATTCAGTTTTAGTTTGAGCAATTTTAGTACTTCAATTTCAACTTAAAAAACTAAATTAAATCAAATTAAGTTTAAGTTTAGTTCATTTCAGATTAAATTAAATTATCTAACTTTTTTTTTATTTAATAGCAATTTTAGTTAATAGTAACACTGATTTTCATGATCTTTCCAGCTATTTGTAATTAATGTGATAAGAGTTTGTAAAAATGATCTTGATTCATATAGATTTGCAAGAGTTGTTCAGACTTGTTTAAAAACACAGGAGTAAATGACATTTAAAAAATATATATATATTAAAATAGAAAACTTTTTTTTAAATGGCAATATTATTTCACAATATTACTGTTTTACTGTATTTTTGATCAAATAAATGCAGCCTTGATGATCATAAGAGACTTAAAAAAAATCTTACTGACCTCAAACTTTTGCAAACGTGCATCTTAAATAGTCTCTTAACTAGGTCATTAATGCATGTTGACAGACAGATGTTAAAAAACTGCTAGAATGTATTTGAAAACTTGTAGTGGAAAGGAAAGCAATTTTTGCTATCATGACCGGTCTTCCCTCTTTCTTCGCACAAATGTGTTAACGCATGAACAGCCCTCTTCACAGGACCATAAAAATGGTCAGTAGTTCAAAAGGTCAACTGACACCCTTGAAATGAATATTCACGTGACATGCTGGCAAGCATGCAAACCTTTATATTAAGTGCAGAAACAAAATGCTTCTGCGCATGTGTGTTGTATAAATGTGCAGGCTACAGTTGAGGAGTGTGTCACATGTAACTATATACGCTATGTGTGTGGGCTGTGTCACTTTAACACTTATAGTATGGGGAAAATGTAAACCCACTTACCCGCTGCGCATCAGACAGTCCTGCCCTCCTGCACTGACTAGTTCACCTACAAGAGTTATCAGATTGAGATTTTGTATTTGTGCAAATAAAGTGGTTTTGTTGTCTGTTAAATAATACAAAGTAGGTCAATGAGTGTAAGGGCTCATCTTACTGGTGAACTGAGCCGGCACCATTACGAAGTCATCAGACTCTGAGGAAGATGAGTCTTTGAGCAGGGAACCTGGAGATGGTGTGGGGTTTGTTTGAGGGAGGGGCCTTGGAGCTTCAGTTTCAGACTGTCAAGAAAAAACGTCATATATACACATTACTGTTCAAAAGGATTCTTTGATGAATAGAAAGTTCAGAAGAACAGCATTTATTTGAAACAGAAATCTTCTGTAACATTAGAAATATCTTTAGTGTCACTTCTGATCAACTGAAAGCATCCTTGCTGAATAAAAGTATGAATTTCTTTAAAAAAAATTAATAAATCTTACTGACCCCAAACCCTTGAATGGTAGTGTAGCTATATGGTACTGTATACACCAGGGTTCCTCAAATCTTGCCCTGGAGGTCCAATGCGCTGCAGAGTTTAGCTCCAACCCTGATCAAACTCAGCTACCTGTGATTTTCTAATGATCCTGAAGACATTGATTAGCATGCTCAGGTGTGTTTGATTAGGGTTAGAGCTAAACTCTGCAGGAAAGTGGATCTCGTGGGCCAGATTTGAGGATCCCTGGTATACACTATATATGGAGCATAAAAATCACAGTACACCTCAAAGAGAGCATAAAATTCATGCATGTGCTATTATTATGTTACCTGAGTAGGAGTGAGGCGAGAGGTTGAAGAACCACTGCTGGAGCTCCCAGAGGCAGAGCTGGGATAGGTGGGCATGGGCACTGGAGAAGCTAAGAAAATAATGAACACACTGAAATGTTACTGTAACCAAAACTATAGCAGATTAGCATAATCAAAGTCATGCACATCACAATCTTACATTTCTTCATGGATGTACTGGCCTCCAGGAAAGGATGATGGAAAAATTCATCTAGAATCGACAATAATCACTTTATTATAATCATGTCTCAGAGTTGTAAAATCAAGTGTGTGATTGTACATGTGTGTCCACTGACCAAAGTCCATGCGTTCCCCGTGGTTCCTCTGCAGCAACCCAAGTAGAAGGTGCCTGAGGTGACTGGAGGTTTCCCGTGGAATACTGGGAAAAGCATCTGAGTTAGACACTGACAGGAAAGAATCACAACCTACACTGTTACGTGTGCATGTTTATACTGTTGTGCAAGGGCTCTGTGAGTTGCCAGAGTTACACTGTACTTGACAGAGTAAGTGATACTCATGAATGTAAACATTGCAACAGTCTATATAAATAAATAAAACTTGACCAAGAATGATGGAAAGGAATGAAAGATGGAAGAGAGAAAAACAATGAGAGAAAAGAAACCGGTTCTACTGCACCATCCTGTGGGGGTGACTATCAAATAAACCTTACATTCACAACATAAATAAATATTAGACGTGGTCGCATACACTACTGTTTAAAAGTTTGGTTGGTATGATTTGTAATCTTTTTGCATGTCTCCTATGCTCACCATGGCAGCATTTATTTAAAAAAAATAGTACTATTCAGAAATATTATTACAATTTAAATTTACTGCTTTCTATTTTAATATATATTCATATATAATTTATTCCTGTGATGCCAAAGCTGAATTTCCAGCAGTCATTCAGTCTTCAGTGTCACATGATCCTTCAGAAATCATTCTAATATGCTGATTTGCTGCTCAAGAAACAGTTGTGCTGTTTTGTGGAAACAGATAAATTTTTTCAGTATTCTTTCATGAACAGAAAGTTCATGAAAAGAACAGCATTTATTTGAAATATAAATCTTTTTTAATATAATAAATGTCTTTACTGTCACTTTTAATCAATTGAATGCATCATCTGAACAAACATATTAATCTCTTTAAAAAAAATTTTTACCAACCCCAAACTTTTGAACGATAATGTACACCAGGGACCTTTGCGCCTGTAGTGCCCAAATTAAACTGGATCATGTTGATTGATGACTAACATACAGTCCTCAGGGTCACTTACCTGGGACTCAGGCTCTGGTGTCTTTCATAGAACTGCCGCAGTTCCTGAGGAGTACTTGCCTGGAAAAAGATTTTAGATAGAGGAAGAATATGAGAACTACTTATATTACTTAAAGTTCATCTGAACAATTTTTCTGCATGATAAAATGGGCAAAAAACCCTAAATCAAAATATCTTTTGACTAGGGCTAGTAAGCAACCACCAAGAACACCCAAGCAACCACACAGCAATGCTGTAATGGGTCTCCAGAAACACTTTAGCATAATGACAGCGGGTTTGCAAGATCAAATACCACTCAAATCTAGTTTGATATTGTTGGTTCACTCTGCACTGCCTGGCAGGCAAAGATAATTCATATTTTTAGACTTACAGTTGATACTGAATTATAGTTTGTGGTGAGCAGTTCATTACATGGCTTAACTACATTCATTTTTGTAAACTCTGGCTGTTTGGGATGTAAACACATTATTCCAGGTCTGAGGTTAAATCTTGAGGGTCTGTTTCTACAAATCATAAAGGCTTTCTAATGGCTGCAGGAACAAGCCCTTAAAGCAATATTTCCATGAAGGAAGTAAACACAATGGTTAGGACAGAGATGACTGATCTGTCTTCTAAATGAACTCAACGACCCATCTTGACCCATTTACAGACTGACATTGTGTTACAGGACTGTCAGGAGTTCCTATTACCAACTCTTTAACTCTTCAACTCTTTAAAAACGCTAAAAATACGAACCCATAAATAGATGTGGTTGTGACTGTGTGATCAGACGGGGTTCACATGTTAGCCATCTGGACTCTGCAAGCTGTATGACCAGAGGTCAAATGGGAAACTTCACCCACAAATCAGTGCTTCTAACAGCAGCACCTGGCTTAGCTGAAGGATCCCAATAATACTTGTTGGCATGCATGTCAACTTTTCAGGATTCTGTTATGAATTATAATAACAAACTAATGACCAGCCTGTGGCAATATTCAGCATAAGTATTGCAGCAACAAACAACACGAACATGCATATTTTGCAATATGATCATCACGCAGAAAAAAAGAAGAACTCCCTGTTCTAGTAGTAAACCCACAGAGATGCCCACCCATGTGAGTGGGCAAGTGTGTATGTATGGGTGTGAGTGTTTGTTAGTAAATCAGAGGGCGTGTTTAGTTGCAAAGACGTGTTTTGTTTATCAGTGAGATTTCACAATCGTGTTTCACACTCTACAAGGCATAAATAACCGAGGGTGCCAGCCAGTTGCGCTTTCGCAATTAAATCATTCCAGAACGTTCAGGAATGACGCAGTAGAAATGAACACTCGGTGGCATTGCTAGCATTTTTCCTTGATAACAATATGCTACCGTTCAAATGTTTGTAATTAAAAAAAAAAAAGAACTCAATACTATACTTATCAATACTTATTCAGCAAGAATGCATTAAATTGATCAAAAGGAACAGTTATATTTTTACAAAAAAAAAAAAAAATTAATGAATGCTGTTTTGAACAAAAATATTAGGCAGTTTTCAACATTGATAATAAAAATAAATGTTGCATCCATCACAGGACTAAATTACTGTACATTTTAAAATACATTGAAATACATAAAATATATAAAGTAAAATATAACATTTTAAAGCAGTTATTTTAAATTGTAATATTGTACAATATTACTGTTTTACTGTATTTTAGATCAAATAAATGCAGCCTCGGTGACCATAAAAGACAAAAACAAACAGATTTTTAAAACATTAAGTGCTTGTGCAAAATATTAGACCTAAAATACATTACTTATACCTCATACTGAATCTGTAGTAATTCTTCACAGAGAGAAAAAAAAACATTTAAAGAGATAAAAATGAAAAATGTCATGATTTACTGACCCTCATGCCATTTTAAATCTTTACAACTTCCTTCCATGAAAGCTTTTCAGCAAATAACAACTTAAATTCTGGTCTGTTCCAGAGACATGATGACAGGATTTTAATTTTGGCTAAACTTTCCCATTAAATCATTCCATAATGTTTAAATGGGAAGTCCAAGAATATATAGCAGAGAATTTAAAGCCACAGAAACATCCAAAAATGAAAGAAATAGATTTGAGTGTGAATGTATCAGGTTAAAAGATGCTTTCTCTCTCAGGGTCATACATCAAGTCTGTTTTTGCTAGTGTGTGTATGTTACTGACCTGAAATGGGGCTTTGCCAGTCAAGCACTGGTAGATGATGGTCCCTACACTCCACAGGTCAGCTTTGGCATCATAATTCTGTGACATGATGACCTCAGGAGCCTGTAAAAATGAGCAAGACGAGTAGCAGTCTCAGTACTTTGCTCTAGTCACTCAAGAATATCTGGAGTAAGTCATACAGAGCTAGTCTGAATATCTAATAATTATTTTGACAAATAAAATCAGTGCTTTATTATGACATATACTGTACTGTATGGCTACATGATTATGAAACCCATAAAGGCTGCAAATTAATTAAATAAATACATGTCCCGTGTGTTTTAGAGTGAAGCGCAGCACTGTGTTCTTTTACACGCATGCAGCTCATGACCTGGTGTTTTCAGTGTCTCAGAGTGGCTCGGTTCAATGCATTTGGGAATGCAATATGCGCTAACATCTTCCCATACTTGTAAAGAGAAGCGTTTATAAGCCAGCTTTAAGGTCTCCCGTTTGGATTTTTGACAAAATAAAAGCTAGATGGTTGAATGAAAGTGACTAAATTAAGACCATAAATATTGTATGCAGTTTAAATTTTTTTTTTTTTTTTACTTTACAGTGAAATGTTACAACAATATTTATTATCTTGTTTAATAATTTAATTTAGTAATAATAATAATTTCAATACCTTAATAAAATAATACAAATATTAACTTTTATTAATTCTTTGTTTTTTGATCACATTTTAAGTTGAAAATGCAATTAGATTTTTTCCCCCCCAAGTCATGCAGCCCTATTTTCCTGAACATTTGGATATTATAGAACATGAAGTCAAGCACTCACCATGTACATTGGAGAACCACAGAGCGTAGCAGCCATTGTGTTTCCCTGCAGATACCGTGCAAAGCCAAAATCAGCTGGAGAGAGAGAGAGAGAAAGAAAAATCAATGTATGGTGCTAAGGACTAAACTTGAGTGCTTGTGAAAGATGGTGCACAAATGTTTACAGAAAGTGTCTTTTAGCTATTTGACTTTACATAGCTGTGTAGTGACACTTGTGTCTACAAAACACTCAAGAGCAAACAGAACAACGTCGTCAAGACCTAAAACAAACCACAGTCATAGCACAAGAACAAAAACACCACAACCAAAATCAGCACTGCCAAAACTGATAACTCATAATCTCATAGCCTCATAATCAGTACACACAGATCCATGACCAGTCTTTGTGTCAAAGTCTTTAGCAAAGGGTTCATAACGGTGTACTTTGATCCGGAGCACTCACCCAGTTTGATGCAGATGTTGTTGGGGTTGGACCTGCGCCCTGTGCTGTATGAAATGAGAATGTTTTGGGGCTTCAGGTCACGGTGGATGATGCCTTTACTCCTTAAAACACTCATGGCTCCCGCCAGCTGCTGCAGCAGCACACAGATCGTGTCCTCGCTCAGAGAGCCTTTAGCTATGGAGAAAGTTAGGAGCAAACAACTGATTTAATTTCGGTTCACTACTTTAAGGATTATTCGGATGAAAACACTTTGAACTGTGGGATATTACATCATTGTTTACAAAGAGTTAGCATCCACGAAAAACAAAAAATCTGACTGGTTTCCACCTCCAAAAACCCAAGCCACAAGCAACCCCCCCTTCTCTCAAAACATGCTTGTTTCATGAAGTCTTATTTTTAGCCCCCATGTTTTTCCACTGCAGGACAGGGCAGATAACTGACTGACAGGTGGATGAGGTCAGGCTGGAGCTTGAGTTTCAGCAGGGGATCTTGGTTCTGTGTCAGTGAGTCTGTGGCAAGAGGTGAGCGGGTGAAGGCAAACATGACCCCTGACGAGGCTGGCATGGGACCTTACAATGCTACAAGTCTGACAGCTTAAAATAGAGAGGTCAATGCAAACATGGTAAATATATCTATGCTGGAAACCTATGGTTAGGTGAAAGTGTATTTTAACCCCGAAGAAGTGCGTGCGCAGATGAGACCACTTCCAAAGGGGCTCTATTTGTGGCAGCACATGTGTGAAACAAGCTATTCTCAGAGATCCTGAATTATCTTTCTCAGGAAAGATCAGGCAAGTTGTTTGTTTGGTAAATATGTCTCTGCAGTTTCAAGTGTCCAAGACCAAAGCAAGTTCAGGAAGTTGCAAGTTGCAAGAAGGCTTCAACCTTCAAGAAATAGGCTTTGGTCTAAAATTCTGTCAACAATCAATCTTTATTATATAACCTTTAAGATACATCATCCTTTGGTGAATAAACAAGATGTTGATGAATAAACAATGCAAAATTTTATCCTAAAAAGGATATGGATGCACAATATATGGAGCATGGTTATTATCATTCATTACAACTATTAAAAAATTTTTGTTCATTTAAATAAAGCTAAAATAAAATGTAAATATTAGATGAAAAACTTTAACTGAAAGTTAGAAATGTTGCCTTGGTGAATAACTGAAATAAGATAAAACTAAAATAAGCTGATTGAAGCACTAAAATTGAAGTAAACTGAAATCTTGAAGTTGAAGCACTACAATTACTATCTAGAAATAAATAAAAACTAAAATTCAACTAAAACTGTAAAAATAGTTAAAGGTGACATATCATGAAAATCTGACTTTTCCAGGTTTTAAGTGCTATAATCAGGTCCCCGGTGCATCTACCAACCAAGGAAACGGGAAAAAGATTAACCCAGTAACTTTGTTTTGTTAAGCCTTTTTCTGCAAGCGTCTGAGAAAACGAGCGCGTTTGATTTTGCTCACTTGGTGACGTGGCAAAGGGATCTCATTATAATATTAATCTGTAAGTTTCCACCCACTGCGCCGTCA